TACACAGGAATTTAAGTCCTGTGCTCGGGATCACAACATAGGTATTTCTATTTGGCCGCTGCAATCAGTATACAGGACTTTCCATATCCTTCCTTTAATCAGTACACGAGAATTTCTTTGGTATGTCTCGAATTAAAATATAGGAATTTCTCTAGTGTGCTTGGAATGAGAAAATATGAACTTCGATAGCATTCTTGGTATCACTACACAGGAATTTCTACAGTGTGTTTGGTATTAGAGCGTAAGAATTTCTATAGTATTCCTAGAATCAGTACACCGGAATATATATATAGTGTGCCTTGAATTAGTGCACAGGAGTTTCTACAGTTGGCTTGGATGTCACACAGGAATCTCTATAATGTTCCTAGAACAGGAACTTTTATAGTGTGGCTGAAATCAGTATACAGTAATTTAGAAATGGTTTCAAGAATTTATAAAGTGTTTTTCGAATCAGAAGTTGGGAATTTCTATAGATTTCCTGGAATCAGTACATAAGAATTTCTATACTGTTCCTTCAATCAGTACCCAGGAATATTTATAGTGTGACTGAAATCAGAGCAATGTAATTTCTATAGTGTGTCTGGAATGAGTTCAAAGGAATTTCTATAGTGTGGCTTGAATCAGTACACAATCATTTAAGTAGCATTCGAAGAATCAGAAAGTAAAGTGTACCTCGATTCACAACAGGAAGTTATATAGTGTGCCTCGAACCAGTACATAGGAATTTGTAATGTGTCTGTAGAATAAAAAATATATAAGCCCCCCCAGTAGCACAGCGGTATGTCTGCGGACTTACAACGGTAGAATTCTGGTTTCGATACCTGCGGTGGGCAGAGCACAGATAGCCCATTGTGTAGCTTTGTGCTTAATTACAAACAAAAAGAAAAAATTACAAGAATTTCTATAATGTGCTTAGAATCAGTACCCAGGAATTTCTATAGTATGCTTTGGAACAGAACATAAGAATTTCTATAGTGTGCTTGGAATTACTACTCAGTAATTCCTATAATGTGCCTGGAATCAAAACACACGAATATCTATTGTGCGCCTGAAATCAGTACACAAGAACTTTTATGGCGTGCATGGAACCAGTACACATAAATTCTGAAGTGTTTCTAGAATCAAAACACAGGAATTTTTATAGTGTCCTTCGAATCAGTACACAGGAATTTCTGCATTGTACCTGGGATCAATACATAGGTATAGCTTTTGTGTTCCTGGAATCATGATACAGGAATTTCTAAAGTGTGTCTTTAATCAGTGCATAGAATTCTGGGTAGCGTCCGAATAATCAAAAAATAGGAATTTCTCTAGTGTGACTGAAATCAGAATATAGGAATTTCTACACACTATAGATATTCCTGTGTACTGGTTCCTGGCACAATATAGGAATTTCTATGTAGTGATTCCAGACATACTATAAAAATTCCTATGTTTTGATTCCAAGCACACTATAAAAATTCCTGTGTACTGATTCCAAGCACACTATAAAAATTCCTGTGTACTGATTACAAGCATACTATTGAAGTTCATATTTTCTGATTCCAGGCACACTTTAGAGATCCATATTTTTTTATTCTTCAAACACTAGTTAAATTACTGTATACTGATTCCAGTGACACTATTGATATTCATATATTCTGATTTCAAGCACACTTCCTGGAATCAGAACATAAGAATTTCTAGTGTGTGCCTGGATTCACAACATAGGAATTTGTATTGTGTGCTTGGAATCAGTACACACAACTTTCTGTAGTGTGCCTGGAATCAGAAGATAAGAATTTGTATAGCGTAACTGGAATCAGTAAGTAAAAATTTCTATGGTGTAGGTGGAATGAGATGATATAAATTTTTATAATTCCTGAAATCGGTACACAGAAATTTTTACAGTGTGTCTGGAATCATAAAGTAGAAATTGTTTTAGTGTGGCTGGAATCAAAATGTCGGAATTTCTATATTGTGGGTGTAATCAGAAGTAGGGTTATATACTTGAGATATCGTTCCTTTGTTTAGTATTGCTTTTATTTAGGTCTTTATCTTATCTGGCGTAAATTGCTTGTTTAAACAGTGCTACTGATGACGATCAAATTTAGAACAAGCCAACAATAGAGAATGTAGCGTTAATGTGCGAGGACAAACATCTCAAAGAATAAATAACAATACTGCAGGCGACAAACAATACTGCAGACGACATTACTGAACTTTACCTTCCATAATTATGACACAGAGTCTTAATTTCAATTTGTAAAATTAATATCTTAAAATAATCTTCAATGTTACGTTGAATGTTAAATTATCGTAGCCTTATATTATGTAAATTAAGTTTTTAATTCAGAAACAGTTTCTATAACAACGTACAAGTATAAAGGAAACATTCATGATCATTATATATATAAATTGAATGCATTGAGATGATTTTCCCTAATTAAAAAAAATGCCAAGTCTACTTTCACGAATCTGACTTACAGGGCCTAAGATCGAGAAAGTGTAAACCAATTAAATATTCATATGTCCTCAGCTAGAGCGTCGAACACTAATACAATAGTCTTTCTTATGTATATAATTATATTTTTACCTTCATCCAAAAGATTACTTTCTGGTTTTCTATGAAGATAATTTTACTGATCCTTTCTCGAAGCATGATTTTTTTACTTATGTTTTTATGAGTTAACTAACATTCTTTTATTTCAAATGGGAAACTTCATGATAAATTATATCCTCGTGTTAAAAAAAACAACCACTATTTTTGACTGAACTGGGAAGATAAAACACAATTACATATAACTTAAAATGTACTCGGAGATTTGTTAAATTTTCATATTACATATTTCAGATCATAGATTGCCACAAAACAATATTGTTACGTCTCCGTTTGTTAATTGATTTCCGTAACTTCGTTCCGACGAAACTTTA